GTTTATCATAGGATTATAATCAAAATACTTCTTCCACAGGGAACCATTTCATATAGTGCATTCCTTCAATCTTTTTCTGTTTTGCCATGTTAAGTTCTATATATTTCGTGTTACTGATAAAAGACGTTAGCCCACTTGAACATTTTTTTTGCATTTTTTTGGATATAAATATATCTTTTAAACATTAGCAACAAGTGATTTAATAGCATCATATTGAACCCTTTCCAATCTTTGATGAATCCAAACATCATTCCGTTTAGTAAGTTGGTATTCCCTATCATGATATCTAGCATGTCAACTCCATCTCGCTCCCCTATATCTTTCTCATTGCCCCAACATCATTGCTTTGTGTGACATGTAGGTATGAAAGATATATGAGTATGAGCAATGAATTTTCTGCATTGTATGACTACATTGAACAGCCATGACTATATTAAATGAACATTTGTTGAGCTTGCAGTCGTGATATTTTGATGATTCTTTTGTAAAGAGAAAAACTCCGGATTCAAGTGACTCTCCAATATATTTTAAAGATCGAGTAACATTTTTGAATACTCTCAGCGTGGATGTGTGATTGATGTACACAATAATGTGTTGATTATATATTATTGCATCTACATAAGACACTATCTTCTTTATAAAGTTGTTATGTGTCTGCCTTACAAAATTAACGAAGTGGGAAGAGGAGAAATGTTCACCCTTCTCCCTATTCGAACCCATATCGCTCCCTTTACAATGTCCCCCTTTCCCCCTCGCACTCACTGAATTGTGTGCTTTAGGTTTCAGTGATTTAGAATTAGATGAATGGAAAAATATAACTATTATCAAACATGCCTCAGAAGTTTACTGATAGTTCAGTGTATAAACGTAATTGAAATGCCTCGATAAGTCATGAAATATCTGAGTAAATAATATTCTTTTAGATTGTCAAAGTTTGAAAAATAGTGACGCTGATTTATCACTTTTTTGTAAACATTCGAAATATCTCCAGTAATTCTTTTTTTTTATAAAAAGGCAGCTGTCACATTGTTTCTTTACCAGACCAAAGAAAACTGAAAATGTGCTCCTGACAAACAACATTAATATTGCGAATGAAAAGAGAGAGAAGATGCAACCACCCCGAATCCTTGGAGACATTCGTGCACCCCAGTTCTGAGATTTTCTCCATTCATGTTCTTAGCACATTAACGTATTGAAGAGAACATCATTTATTATCGCATTAACGTCACATTACCGGTTGCAGCGCGTGGTTAAGGCTTCTTTATGTGTTTATCTTTACATACAGGACCAGATGTGGTTTGGAATTTAAATAAATGAAAGTAGATTTCATTATTACCTCCTTCTTTGTCTAAGAATATTATTGATAATAAAGCACGCCTCTTGGCCGCTTTGTTTTGATCATTGGTAGCGTTACGTTCGGTCCAATCAGCGGTCACCAGTGGCGGATCCAGGGGGGGGGGGGGGGGGGGGGGGGGGGGGGCCCGGGGGCCCGGCCCCCCCCCTTGAGAAAAAAAATCATGTAAAATCACGTGATTTTTACCTTTTTTTGGGGTTGGGCCCCCCCCCCCCTGGCGCTCAAGGGGGGGGGGGGGGGGGGGTGCAAATTGAATTTTTTTTTGAGGATCAAAAAAAAAAAAAAAAATGTACTCACTACCCCCCCCCCCCCTCCCCCCCCCCCCCCCCCCCCCCCCCCCCCCCCCCCCCCCCCCCCACTGAGCGAATTTTTGGCCGGCGCGTTTTTCAAATTTTCGGGAGCAAAAAAAAAAAAAAAAAAAAAAAAAAAAAAATTGTGCTCTGTACCCCCCCCCCCCCCCCCCCCCCCCCCCCCCCCCCCCCCCCCCCCCACACTGAGCGACTTTTCGGCCGGCGCGATTTTCAAATTTTCGGGAGCAAAAAAAAAAAAAAGTTGGGCCCCCTCCCCTAAGTAATCCTGGATCCGCGCCTGGCAGTCACATCCGTGATCACGTGGTACATTATTGTGGCAGGAGGTAGCTTAAGACATGTCACATGTTCTTAAATCGTTAATTCTACTATATTACAAACATGCTGGCTGTGGCTTTTCATTGACAGTAAACCAAAGATTAATACAGACATGAGATGATTTATATCCGTGTCGTATAACATACAACATCTATTGTATACCAGATGTCTGTTCGTAGTAGTTATTCATACTTTCTTCTTATTTTTCTGTTCAGTGTTGATAGATTAGCTATATTAGATTCTTTGTCTCGGATGAGACGGTGAAGATACAAATGGTTCCAATCTTAGGAAAACGATGTAACGTCATCAGTAGATGTCATGCCGGCGCGGCGCCGTGTCCGTGGGGGAGTTAAGATATCAGGACCCACTTTCATAAAACATGTCATCAATAACACGTTACATAAACTGTTATAAGCTTCTGAGATCGTGGCATCTGATTGGCTGAGAGCAAATTTGTCATTGAAATTTAGCATTTGTAATTGGTTACAAGCTTTCATAAAACAAGGCCTAGTGCTTTTCTTGCGTTGCGATTCACCATCAACGTGATCAAGGTCAAAATGTGTTGGTGTATCTGGTATTTCCATTCCTTCTATTTTTTGCTTTCGTTTCATAGTCTTTGTATGAATGAATCATGTGGTATATTCAGTGAGCAACACATATTTTTCCCCATCCATCGATTCATAACACTCTTTAGTTTCCCTTGAAGATGTGCGATATCCTAATGTTCACAGGCCATGGTGTGTGTATAGTATAATGGACTCTTATTCGATTCGAGTATTAGAGAATATCTTTTTTTCTTTGCTCTTCTTCGTTCTAGCAACTTCTTGTCTTGATTTACTTTCATCGTCATTAAATTATTGAAGAGGTTCACCTGACTGGTGATGTAACTTGGTTGTGAAAAAAAGAACTATTTTTGATGTCATCATCATTATACATTATTACATCACTGATTTGTAAAGGTCTAATTGCCCTTAAATCGTACACTATACAATATAGGTATGAACCTGACATTAATCATTAGGTCCTTACACACTAAGAAGAAAGGGCCCAATGTGGGTGCAGATTTGCATCCACCTACGCTTATTTGGCGGAGGTAGCCTATTGCTATTGTAGCAGAGGGTACTGCTTTTGTAGCAGAATTGCACACTTATTCCTTAGTTTGTAAGATGTTTAGTTTTATAATGTGTACAAGAAAAATGAGGGGATTAAGTATCATTTGAAGAAAAATTAAAAGGCGAATGTTATTTGGACAAAACTAAATAAATTTGAAATATACATCTATTATTGCAGGGGTGTTTCAATTACCACCTTAGGATGAGCACAGTGTTACTTTCAACTTCACGCGACCTTTGGCATATATTTTCACAACACAAATCATCACCACGATGCTTTTCATTCTCATACCAAACTCCAACGCTGATCATAAATCGCTGAATACCCTCGTTGTCATGGGAACCTTACACATCCAACGCCAATCCCCGAAAAAGTATCAAAGAACCTGACAAAATATGGTGTCTGATTCTTTATCAGTGGTTTGCATACTGGCGCCCAGCATGCGACTTCAAATCTGGCAAAGTTTTGCCTCGCACAATAGGGACAGAGCATGTGTCTGTTTTATTGTCCCATTTACGACATCAAATCCGTTCTATAGCATACTGTGATGAATAGTGATGACCTTGAAATATGATATTCCAAGTTTATGTTACAAAAGACATCATGATACCATTCTTAAATTTCGTGACAAATATGCGAAGTGATGTGACTAACACCCAATCCTTAAAGGGGTTATATCAACAATTTCATTCGATGTGAACATATCTTGCACATTATTAGTGGATATTTATTCGTATACGTTGAAACACAGTCACATCGCTAAACCGAAACTCCGAAATTCTTTGTCAGTAGAAGTATTGTTCGGTTTGTTGTCAGTCTTGTTGGTGTTCCTTTAAGTGTCTCGACTAACTTTTGTAGATCATTTATTAATAATAATAATAATCACAATTTCTCTTTGATTGTTAGCTTCTACTTGTCTTTCCAATTCTGATGTATTGAATTGAAGAGAAACAAGTTTGTACCTGTTATTTGGGATAACGAATCCTAACTTGTCGGACAAACATCAATCCCCTTTCATCACAGCTCACTGCTGCTCTAAGATAAGCATTGATTTCAGCTCACAAGTTTAAAGTATACTGTTGAACAAACTATAGTACATAAATTTCAATAATAACAAAAACAAAACCCCCAAACCGGCAAATTTGGTTATTCTCTATAAAGAAAGACAGATAGATGGATTTTTTGTGGATTTGTTAAGTCCTCGTAGTGACAATGCTATCAGACCCCTTGCCCTCCCCCTTCTTCGGCCTCGCCTAACACTTGTAACTTGGTATTGATGGTGGTCCAATGGTTGCCCTGGTCTGGACCATTTTACCCCTCTTTGTATCTTTGTTCCCCTCTTCCAGACCATCGACTATGCTAATGGTGGATTAATGGCCCCTGTAATGGCCTCCTTGTCCCCTGCCGAATCACCGATAAAGTATTATTGTCACTCGCTCCAAGCGCCAAATCCCTCAAAAAAATTAGAGCCCCCATAAAAACGTGCCCATTAAAAAACACATTTCATAAAGAGAAAGGTTACTTACACGAAGGGGGTCAGTGATTTGGTAGGCTTTAGAATGCTGTAGTACGGGTGCTCGCGCCTGATTTTAGTTTAATATGAACCCTTTAGCCACTTCTTCACAATGGTATAGTTCTAAAAGATGCGGTGTGTGTCTTTGTAGGAGTGTTTGTTTTGCTGTCAAATCTTTTGTGTCTGATGATAGATGCATGGCCGATACATCAACGCGATGATCCGCCAGAGACTGGGTGCTGTAAAGATACAAAGGTCCCATAAAACACTCACAACACCATAGATAGTGTTGTGTTTGGGATCGGTGTCGTAAAGTTATTGGAATATTGAGAGGTACATGAAATAAAGAGATGCTGAGACTTTCTTTGAAGTGTAATATGCAAGAGTATAATTTATTATAACTCTAAAACGATGAGTCGCATAGTCCAGATTCACAAGTATATTTACAAGATATAGAGCAGACAAAGTATAGGTACTAGCTTGGTGATGGTCTGAACTCTTCTCCTTTCAGAAAGCCAGAACATCTCCTAATTATACAGGAGGACACAAGGAATATCAGGGTAGGTTACATTGTGTCAAAGGGACAAAGACAAGTCAATTCTAGCTAACACTGTTCTGGGAAAAAGTCTTACCAAACAAGGGGGGCTTTGGTTATTGGGAGGAAGACAGGAAGTCTTTTGTTTTGGAGGTTTAGGGGCACTTTAAAGATGTATACAATTTGGGGTTTATTTACCTGGAATAAGTTATTAAACAAATGTCTTCGAAGGAGGTCTGGTATTTCGCAGGTTGGGTCTTATTTGTATTGGGGCATACTGAGTGATATTACATGTTATTACTGAGGGTGTGTAGATTTGTAATACCTTTACATAACATCCCCTTTCTTTGGAAAATAAGGCTCTTCTCCCTCTTTTCAAAACAGTAGAGGAAGAAAAAGGGGGACATTTTAAAATTATACACATATTAATTAATTAATGAAAGGTGAAAACTGATAAGCGAAACATGTGATCATTGTTCCATCTTCTCTTACTCTCCCTCTCTCGCAAACATATACAACATTGTAAATAATTAATATTGAAGCCTATACAAACTAATAATCCTAAACGATTAAACAATCATAACATGTAGCAAAACTTATTTGTGATTCAATACAGCCCCCATGTCAACAAAACTAGACTTGATAACTTAGGGAAATACCCCCACCTTGACCCCAGTGACCCCATCGTTGATATGACAGAAGACGAGATAATACGGAAACATATTGACTTAAATGGGAGTATTCTGTCTCAAAATGAAAAACAGGAAATCGTTCGTGTTCTGATGGAAAATAGAGATGCATTTTCTCTATATGGCGAACTATCTAGTTGCCCGAATTTCGAAGTAGACATTGAACTGACTAATGACGAACCATTTTTCATTCGACCTTACTTTGCAACTGAGACTGACAAGGCTAGGATAGAATATGAGCTAACCAAACTCGTCAAGTTGGGAATTTTAGAAGTAGGACATCAATCATACACCTCACCTGTCCTCCTCCTTTCCAAAAAGAACACCTCCGAAAAGAGAGTTGTTACTGATTTTCGGTATCTCAATTCTAGAGTTAAACGAATTAATCATCCCTTCCCCCTACTTTCGGAAACCCTCAAACGAATTGGCAATGCTAACACAAAAGTCCTTAGTGTGATTGACTTGAAGTCAGCTTTTCATTGCATCCCCCTATCCAAGTCAGCTCAAAAGTATACAGGTATTGCATCATACCATGGCGGGAAACATTACTTTTACAAACGTTTGGCACAAGGCTTAAACGTTTCACCCGCTATCTTTCAGGCAAAGATTGATGATATTTTGGGTTCGATCCCCAATTCTAGGCAATTTTGCATAGCTCACCATGACGACATAATACTATTTAGCCAAGACAAGACCTCCCATCGATCCCACTTGATAGATGTACTAAAGGCCCTCTCTGACAATGGACTTAAAGTCAGCCCGAAAAAGTGCAAGCTCTTCCGCACTGATGTTGATTATATGGGCCACCGAATCACTGTCAATAAGGAGGGAGAGGCATGTTTTCAACCCCTTCGTGACAGGTGTGCTGCCATCCATGGCATGCCCAAACCGAAGACCCCCAGACAAGTTAGGAGACTAGTGGGAGCAGTGAACTATGTTGCAGGATTTTTCCCCGATATACAATCTGTTCTCAAACCCCTACACCAACTGACTAGAAAGAAAAACAAATTCATCTGGACTGACAAACACGAAACTGCCTTTAACAAAGTTAAAGAGCTAATGACCAACCCTCCAGTATTACACATGCCCCAAAGTACAGGACGATTCTCACTATACAGTGACACTTCTCGGACTGCTACCGGCTCTTACTTGACTCAACTTATTAACGGACAGGAACGTATTATTGGGTATTACTCGAAAGTATTGCCCGATGCATGTCAGAGATACAGTGTGACAGAGTTGGAACTATTTGGACTATTGATCAATGTCTCAGCCTTTAAGCATTTGCTTAAAGGATGTGAGTTCAATGCATTCGTTGACCATAGTTCAATTGTCCAGATTTTAAAATCAAAGGATGCACCGTGCACAACACGGCTGCAAAAATTGATTTTGAAATTATCTGAATACTCCTTCCAAATTGGATACAAAAAGGGTACTGAACTCGTTTTGGCAGATTTTCTTTCTCGAGCCCCTTCTGGTGACCATGATGAGATTGACAGGGTTGTCCCCATTTCATGCTGCTTATTTGACGAGAGTGATTTTGTTCATATGTACACCCTTAACCCAGTCCAACCCATGGATAGGAGAATAACACGGGCTTATGCCAAGAAGATGGGAATATCTGTTCCTGACATTTTCCCCAACAGATCTCAGAGCCCCACGACAACAGAAACTAGTGTAAACACACCCACTAGGCCAGCTGACCCAACACCCCCTGACAAGCCTACTACACACCCCCCACGACCAACCAATCACGGACAGGCATTACGACTTACCATGCCCCTCAGGCAGGCACCAGTGCGTGACCAAGACAGTACATGTTCTCACTCTAGAATTATGCCCCCTTTTTCTCCCACTCCCCAAGAGCCTAGACTCGTTGACAGACATACTAATGACCACCACAGAGATGTACCACCTGATCTATACACACCGCCTAAGCCACTGACCACCAAGGTAAACAATAGAATAGCAGGACATATCCCCAAACAACATGAACTTGATAGGATTACGGACATAATAAAGAGGAAAATAATCAGAGACTACAACCTCCCCATTGACATGAGAGAACTTAAAACGGAACAACAAACATCACCATTCTTCAAGCCTGTTTATGATTTTCTAGCCCATGACATTCTGCCAAGTGACAAAAAGGCAGCTAAGGCTATACGATTGAAGGCAGAGGAATATATTCTTTGTGATGGCGTTCTTTTTAGGCTCTTCTTTGACAAGAATGACGACTTTCGACTTCAACTTGCAATACCAGAAACACTGACAGACACTATCATCTCCCAATACCATGACAACCTACTTAGTAACCACCAAGGGACCCAACGAACTTACCTGACAATACGACGCAACTTCTATATGCCCAACATGTTTGAGCGAATTAACAATTATGTTAAAGCTTGTTTGCGTTGTCAGCAGTTTCGCGGTAAGCCCGACAAGACTAGACCATTTCACACAAGAGTACCAGACTCGTACAGACCATTTGACCGCATTAGTCTTGACTTTAAGACTATGCCGACCTCTGGGACTGGATTTAGACATTTGATGGTGATATGCGATGAGATAACTCGCTTTGTCATCTGCGCGCCTCTCAAGACGCTCGATGCAGAGACAATTTGCGAAGCTTTAATCCAAAAAGTAGTTTGCATTTTTGGACCACCATCATGTCTAGTGACTGACGCAGCATCTTCACTGACAGGCAAACTACTGACTACTTTGTGTTCAGCATTGAACATTGACCGCAAGGTCATTAGTGTGGAAAATCATGGGAGTCTACAAGTTGAACGGCACATCCGAACCCTTTCAAGTTTTCTCAAAATAAACTTGAATCAATTTGGAACCGATTGGGTTAGATACATTTCTACTACAACCTATGCTTACAATTCCTTTTCCTCCCAACACCTCGGTGACCACAGCCCCTACCAGCTCGTTTTTGGAAGAGAGCCCCCAAATTTAACAACTTTGTCCTTCAATCCCATGTCTGGCCTTTCCCAATCATACAAAGAATATGTAGACCATTTGAAACAGAAATTTGATCAGATTTCCAGAACAATGCTCTCTTTACAGAGAAAACAGCAAGATAAGCAGAATGTTGAAATTGCAAACAAATTGGGGAGGACACCCATTTATTCTAGAGGCCAATTAGTATATTTGTATAAGCCCACCTCTTCTTCTTTGACAGCTAATTCTAAGAAGATTGCAGCTGAGTGGGTCGGCCCATTAGTAATACATGATGTTCTAGATAGGACCCATTACATTTTGGCCACACTAAAGGGAGAAATTCTGCGAGATGTGTTTAGCTTCAATAGACTGAAGCCATGCTTCATGAAAGCGTCCGATGATAGGAAACACATAACGCACATACAGAAGCTCAAAGAGGCTCTCGGGAAAAACACAGAGCAAGGGAGACAAAACACTGAGCAACCATCAGTAAACTTCATCAATGAAAATGATGAGAAACTCCCTGAGATTGATGTTGAGCAGGTTATGTGTTCCCAACTATCAGACCCGATCCAAGATTCAGACTATTTGCATGCACTAACAGACAACAATGGGATAGCTGCCCCCAGACCCTTAACACAGACAGACCTAGAAAGACAATTTGACCTACTTATGACTGCCCCCAATAACCAGAACATGACCCTTCATAAAGGACGTTTCAAAGCTGGAAATCTACAAATATTGACATCATTTGACACTGGTTATAACACCACCAAGCAAGTGCGTTTTTGGTGGAATGTCAATTTGTATAAAGGCACAGAAAACTTAATTAATGACATACTGACAAACAGAAGAATACAGATTACAGGCAGCCCAGGAAGATTTTATAAGTCTTTATATTTGTAGGCAGTTGCCTCTATATCAATTGTGTATGCCCTAGAAAATATAATTTTTTTGTATGCTTTTATAAGTCTAGAAGCATCCTAGTTTATACAAATCACTGTAAATTTGAATCAAAGTTTTCCTGCATAAGTCTACAGGCACTTTGTAGTTAAGATTAGTATGACAATTGTTATTGAATGTTAAATTCTTGTTGAATTTTACACAAGTTGAACGCACTATAGCTCGTTCAAGACAGAAGTTATATAACGTATCATAGCTCATCATTTTGATGGTTTTACAAGGATTGAATGTACACTTGTTATATGATATTCAACAAGTTTGAAATTACTTGTTCATCATTTATTATTCTTTAAGTTGTTTTATGATTATGGAAAGAACTCTATAATGGGTTAGGAATGTTAGTCACTTGAATTCTGTGTTGATGCTTCATACGAAGTACATATATTGTCTGTTTAAACACAGAAGTACTTTCAATGCCTAGAGCGCACCCGTTTGCTTTCTCATTTATAATCATATTGTTAAGATGTTAGATTTACATCGACAGTTTTGTTCGTATATTTCTAAACCACAGTGTGCATACTGTGATGACGATTTATTATTTGGTTAGACTCGTATATTCCTTTAAGGATCGAGTCATTTGATAAGTGACACACGTTTACATTTTGAGAACGTTTTGGCTTTAATAACTTTATAATGGTTATTTAACATGATTATATATTTTTTTTTTTTATGTTCATGTGCATAAGTCTGCACAATTTATAATTTGAAAGTTGGAAGTTTTGTTTTTATGTGCATAAGTCTGCACAATTTTATAATGTTACAGTTGCTTATTGTGCATAAGTCTGCACTAGCACGTAAGGATGGATTCAGTATTGAATCACAAATAAGTTTTGCTACATGTTATGATTGTTTAATCGTTTAGGATTATTAGTTTGTATAGGCTTCAATATTAATTATTTACAATGTTGTATATGTTTGAGAGAGAGGGAGAGTAAGAGAAGATGGAACAATGATCACATGTTTCGCTTATCAGTTTTTACTTTTCATTAATTAATTAATATGTGTATAATTTTAAGATGTCCCCCTTTTTCTTCCTCTACTGTTTTTGAAAAGAGGGAGAGGAGCCTTATTTTCCAAAGAAAGGGGATGTTATGTAAAGGTATTACAAATCTACACCCCCTCAGTAATAATATGTAATATCACTCAGTATGCCCCAATACAGATAAGACCCACCCTGCGAAATACCAGACCTCCTTCCAAGACATTTGTTTAATAACTTATTCCAGCTAAATAAACCACGAATTGTATACATCTTTAAAGTGCCCCTAAACCACCAAAACAAAAGACTTCCTGTCTTCCTCCCAATAACCAAAGCCCCCCCCCTTGTTTGGTAAGACCCTTTCCCAGAACAGTGTTAGCTAGAATTGACTTGTCTTTGTCCCTTTGACACAATGTAACCTACCCTGATATTCCTTGTGTCCTCCTGTATAATTAGGAGAGGTTCTGGCTTTCTGGAAAGGAGAAGAGTTCAGACCATCACCAAGCTAGTACCTATACTTTGTCTGCTCTATATCTTGTAAATATACTTGTGAATCTGGACTATGCGACTCATCGTTTTAGAGTTATAATAAATTATACTCTTGCATATTACACTTCAAAGAAAGTCTCAGCATCTCTTTATTTCATGTACCTCTCAATATTCCAATAACTTTACGACACCGATCCCAAACACAACAATAGATATGTTGTGATGGATCTATTTGCGAAATATATATGTCTGTCATCTGCCCCCTCTTTTTCTTTAAAAAAAATGTCTTTCTATTTTGTTATTCTCTGAATTTACCCGACTCCCATTGCATCTATTTCCTGGTTATCATTCCACACCACTCCTGCTCTTTTATTTTCTTTACCACACGGTAACCCTCTCGCCTTTTCTTTTTGTCGCCCAGCTATCTTCGTCTATCTACCCCTCTTCCTCCTCTCTCAATCTCTATGTTTCTCTCTGCCTCTCTTTATCTCTCCCACCCCTCTCCCTCTTTTGTTTTTATAAAGAGTCTGAAATGAAAATGATTTAGATAGAAATTAATCTAGACATATGGCGGAAGTGTTACCAATGAACTCATTGACGATTCTAAGCGTGATGTAGCAATGAATAAGAAATTTTTAATATGAGCCCCAACTTATCAACGGTTTCGAGAAATGAAAATGATTCTAACTTGATACCAATCGCAATTCTGTACTAAAGAGATAGGAGCACATGGTACAAATGACCCCAAATATCCACAGGTCTTTTACACATGGAGAAGTTCCACTTTGAGCATATTAGAATAATAACTGCCAAAGTCCTAGATGTGCTTCATGAAGACCTTTTGTTTGCCCTCTTGACAAGAATACTTCCACCTGCGTATCATAGAATGTACCGTTGGTGCATAAATGAATAATGTTACATAACTTTCATGAGCGCATATCCAGTATTCATCTCTGTGGGTTTTACCTTTTTGGTACAAATGACTTTTATCTGCCCATGCGCAGATTGTATCTGTAAACTCCCTTATTGATTGAAGGAATTCAAATCAATCGAGATCAATTGAGACTTTTTGTAAGATATGTCCCTGACTTCTTCAAATTGAGGTCATTAATCCATAGAATTCATTTCGTATTTTCTGTACAAAATCGACCTCTTACCCTCCAATCCCAAAGATCTATTTTAGTGGGACAATATGCACCAAATAATAGGTCATATTTACCGAAATATAGAAATGAGAAAGCTTTTCAAAATGCCGAAATTTCTATGAATTATAATGTATAATTTCAGTATAAAAATGATAGGTCTATATCATAAATTAAATGTACTGGCTTTGTGTGTGTATATGTGTATATTTGCTTGTGTATGTGTGTGTTTGTTCACGTCATATGCATAAAGTACACCCACACCCACACGTACACCCACGTACACCCACGTCCACACTCGTGCTCGCGCACTAGTGCATACTTATATCTATTATAATTATATAAGAGAGAGACAGACAGAGAGAGAGAGAGAGAGAGAGAGAGAGAGAGACAGAGACAGACATACAGACAGAGACAGAGACAGAGACAGAGACAGAGAGAGAGAGAGAGAGAGAGAGAGAGAGAGAGAGGGAGAGAGAGAAAGAGAAAGAAAGAGAGATAATTTTCAACAACATTGTCATACAACAACAGTATGCAAACTAAATATTTGTTTTCATGTATTCATTCATCGATCAGGACACGTTGACACGCAGGATAAAAAAAAAATGAGGACGGCAACGAATATAATCCCCCCTAAAGTTATAGAAATGATAGTATTCTTGATATAACCATGGACTCTAAAATAGAATCTAAACGGAGGCGAAATCTAGTGCGTGGGACTACACCAGACAATCAGTGTTGGCGTAAAATTATTGTAGAACTTTGACTGTTAAAACCTTTGACATGGCGACTTAAGGGCAGACGACACTCTTGACAATAGGAATTTAGACATGGCTCGCTGGCGCCGTTGACTAATTCGCACTTTTGTCCCTTGAGAGAGCCGGACAGACGAAGAAACTTCAAGGCATTGTTGATGGTTTAGCGCAGGCATGATAATGGGTGATTTGTCACATTTACAACTATCAATGTCAGGGCTACAACTCTAAACATTTCTTTCGTATTTTTCTCTGTATTTGCTTTATCGCTCTCATCTCTATTTCTCTGTCTATCTCTCTCTCTCTCTCTCTCTCTCTCTCTCTCCCGTTATCTCTTCCCTTCCCTATCTTTTTACGTCCGTACATGTCTTTCTCTTTCTTTCTCCCTCTGTTTCTTACTCTTTCTCTTTCTCTGCTTATTTACATATCTATTCCCACACTCTCAAAATTTCCCTCTCTTAACTATTTCGGTCTTTTTCTAAGCCTTTACAAAAATATCTTCTCAATCTCTCTTTCTCTCAACTTTTCTCTCAACATACTCCTTTTATGTTATCTTTCTAAAATTCTAATTTCTCCCTCTATCCCTTATTTCTTAACCTTCCTCCTCTTTTTCATGCTGTTTTTTTCTTCTTCATTCCGTTTGTTTCCCAATTTCTTACCATGGCCATCCTTTCGTTAATGGCATCGGTCAGTTTTCCTCTATATTACAACTCAGTAGAGACCCCCTCCCATTTATGAACTCTCTTGTTTTTACTCACTTACTCACATTATACACCTCCTGACAATCTTATCAGTCATGTACATCAGTACTTCATTTTCTACTTACATACTTCCAATAGCTACAAAGTTACGTTTATAGGTAAATGTGTATGTACCCATTTGTGAATTGAATTTACTTCTATACTTGATGTCAATTAGATTATCTGTTGTCTTTCCATTCCTTTGATCAATTTAAGAAAGTATTGGACATTTTTTTTAGTTTAGTGTGGCGAACATCATCAGCATGTAAAAGGGCGATAATACTATCAAATGTACTACCGCTTTTGTCTCCTCTGCCTTTCTACTTTATACAAATGCCAATTCCTCGTAACCTACTGCTGTTTTGTTTACTTTTTACAGACTAGTTTTTAATGATATTCTTAACTTTTATATCACAGTATACTACATTATTGCTACACTGTAATTCACATATACTCTGCAGTGGTAGCTCTTTTTTGCTTAAAACTTCTTCTACTGCACTAAGAATAATTGTGTCCAAACTAAATGAAAGACATCTATACCCAGTTCCTTCAGCATGCCACAATATGATAATAATAATAATAATAATAATAAGAAGAAGAAGAACAATGACAATAATAATAATGATTATTATAATAACAATAATAATGATAACAATAAAATATATAAATAATAACAATAATCATGATAATAATAACCATAACTTTGTTTACCCAGGGAAGCCTCTTCTTCTTCCTGAGGGCCCTGCAGTAATTAGTGCACTAACAATTGCAGGTTCCCATTTACACCTAGATAGAGAAAGTGGCAAATGTGGATTAACGTCATGCACAAAGACGTTAGTGTCAGACCTAGATTCGAGCCCTCAACCCTCGGATTGAGAGTCAAGTGAACGAACCACTATACCACGACACCCCCACAATATAAAATGGATCATAAATCAAACAATCCTTCTGTTCACGTGTGTCTCATGACTCTAATATTTACCTACTTTGCCTTTTGCACAGTCATCCCAAAATAGTATTTTCGAATTATTTTGTAAACACAAATTGTATCTCGCACTGTCGTCAAAACGCCGACATACTTTACGCAAGTGATGTATCATAATTTTGTTTGTCACTACACAAATATTTTATCTTTAGCAATTTCGTGAATTCAGACGCCATCAATGGCAATAAATCTATGTAAGTATTGATGATCTCTTCAATAACAAGGCTTTAAAATGTTATGCATGCCTTAGGGATAGAGGATTATACAGAAGATAAAATTCCTATCATAGTTGTGTCTTTTTACGATTCCTCCGAAAAACCACAGATATATCAATCAAAAGATGTTGACATGATCCTACGTAAAGTTTGTTTTCAGATTGATTTCGTCCCTTATACATTTGGCCGTATAATTATTTGGCACCATTTCCTCTTATATTTTCCAACTGATAGTCTCTCAGCCTCTCAGTTTATCAATCTGTATTTATTGTATTTTTGTAAATCTCTTTCCTTCTGATGTGTTAGAATGGTGGCGATATATGCATTATCAATATCATCATCATCATCATTGTCACCACCATTGACATCATCATAATCACCATCGTAGTTATTATCATCATCATCATCATCATCTTCACTACCACTACAACCATCAACATTATCATCATCATCATCATCATTTTCATTAACATCATTATCATCATCAACATCATCATCATCAACACGAGGTACATCATCATCATCATCACCATCATCATCATTAACATCATCATCATCACGAGGTACATCATCATCAACACCATCATCATCATTTTCATTAACATCAATATCATCATCAACATCATCATCATCATCATCATCATCATTAACATCATCATCATCACGAGGTACATCATCATCAACACCATCATCATCATTTTCATTAACATCATCACCATTATCATCATCACCATCATCATCATCATCACCAGGTACATCATCATCATTATCATTAACATCATTTTTTTCAGCTCCATCACCTCGCTTGTACAATTTAATACTGGGAAAGTTGAAATTGGGACAAGAGATGTTACCTCTCCCACCACCACCGGTGGAATTGTGCCACTCCCCTTTCCACACCCCCTTTTCACCACGTCACATCATTGAATCAAAATAATATATCCGGTGACAAATAAGCTGAGAGAACTGGACTAATGAACGAGGAGAACTTAACCAGTTTCGTGATTTCTCTTTCTTTCTCCCAGCCACGCGAGATCGTGATGGTTTGTTAATAAATTGTGTGTCTTCTTCACGGCTAAATCCGGGACATGTCACCTTGTTTAATACGACATTAAACCAGTGCATGATGTTCTTGAAGTTTTCCGGTTTCAGTTGAGTTGCGTTGATACGCTGCGCGACGTACGTCTGGAATCTTCGCGCCTGTACCACGCGCAGAGCGTATTAACAACATTATCCTCGTTTTATTTTTTCTCGATCATCCACGGTTTACCCACGCACGCGTTGTCTTTTCCGT